TTGTCCCATTCTTGTGTAGTCGTCTCCATCGTTACACAGTTCTGTTCCTCCTCAACATTGCTGCTGTCAGTGCTGTCCAGTGTCCCCCTCTGCTCAAGCTGGGAGAAAGCCTCTTCGATTATCTGCCTAATATGTTCCCGTACCTCTTCCCCCTCTACTCTTCTCCCCTCCTGTGTGGTCAGTAATCGTTGAGTACCCTCTGTCTTCCTCTACTACGCTTTAATGTGCTCAAAAAAAAAAAAAAAAAAAAAAAAAAACAGCAGCTTTGGCTACATTTAGGCTATTCCCTCCAGTCGTTTGGCGGCTTGTGTCTTCGTCAAACTCAATTTTCATTTGTTTTCATCGCCCTCGTCAAGTGGAAGGTTCCGAGAGCTCCGCTGTTCCTTCTCGAAAAAGGAAGCCCGAGTACACGAAGAAATACTGCGCTGTCTGGAGATGCAGACTTACCGTGACTAATAATATTTCGTGAAGTGCCGTGCACGAAAGGGTAGTTAGTGGGTATCGTATTAATTGAGTACGAGAACTCTCGCTTGTGTGACATCTTTTGTTTTGGATATTAAAGTTCTTCAGCCGTACCATGTTCTGATGTCGTGCATAAAATCAAAGTTGAAGATGGGGTTTCATTCGTCGGTTTGAATCTTCCGGTAACACTTACCCTCGCCAGATTTGCTTTGGCCGCGGTTTGGACCAATACCACGTAGAAGACAAGGCCTGCGCAGGACGTCATCGTTAGTAGTTCCCCGACCCTCCCCGAGCGGCAAACAGGCTATTGACGAGAGTATGGGCCACATGCGGCCGCGACTGCTGAGCGCGACCGTTGGTGCGAGCTGATAGCGACCTTCCACAGTTCATTTGCAGCGTGCTTGCGACACCATCGAGATTACCGGTCTTAGCAGCCTATTAATGTGAGCTCGTGCGATACGAGATAAACCGTGACCACTGCAGCAGGCGATGGAGCAGACGATGTCGCAGACGATATAGCGGACGATGGTGCTCATCCGGGCTAACTAGAGGTCGCTGAGGGGATCTACTTTTTATTATTATTATTTTTTTTTTTTTTATAGTGATGACGCTGAGAGGAGGAAATGCGCAGGCCTTGTTTTCGAGGTGGTATTGTTTTGACCCGATGAACTCACTTTTGCGAAACGCATGCGAGGCTATGATGCAAAAAACAACAACAATGATCTAATTATTTCGACAAGCGAGGGAAATTTGGGCAGGGATAGGGAAATTTCAGGTATTCGGTAGGGAAATTATGACGTTAAAACTCAGTAATAAAAAAAAAAATTGTTCTTTTTTTGCATTGTGCTTGTTGTAAAATAAGGGAACTTATCATTATTGCTATTGTTAATATTATTTCCATGTTTGTGCTCTTTGTGTCCGAAAGAAACTTTCATCCGCCCCTTTTCGAATAGGGGTGTGCAAGATACTTCTTCGAATCGAATATCTTTTGCTTTGATCCACTGGAAACAGAGCCGAAGGTTTTCCTGGCGCTGCGATAGTTATGAAGGTATTCGCACACCCCTATTTTCGAGCTGCCCGGATAGCCTCGGCATTCTGATCGCGCAACGCTGTTTTTGTGTCTAAACATGGCGGACATTTGAGTTGTCACCACCCTACGGACCCGGTCCAAATCGTCGGTCCAAATCCCCGCTTCGCTCGATTGCACGCTCTCGTCGAGCTCGGAAGAAAGAAGCCGCTGTGTCGCCGTCGACTTGGGCTGGCCGTTCAAGGACCGAAAAAGTGGGTCCGGCGGTTCTTTCGCTCACCCGCCGTGGGAGCTGACTCATATCCAAAACAGCGCCCGGTCCCGCCCCCCCCCCCCCCCCTTTTTTTTTTCCTTTCTTTTTTTTTTTTTTTTTTTCTTGAGCCCAGTCAAGGCCTAGCCGCCTGTCTCGACGCTGACGGCTCGTCTCGAGTCTGGCTCCGCACTGCTCTCCCTTCGCGCGCATGAAACAAAACACGGCCAAAAACACCAGCCGAGTGGCTGGTGCCGTAAGATACCGCGGTTGTGCCACCACCACCGCTACAACCGCAAAAAAGGAAAGAAAAAAAAGAAGGAAACGTGGTGTTAACAAAAGGCGCGAAAAGGAATCGGAAAGCAAACGTCAAAAAAGAAGCAGACGACAAGCAGAAATCGGAAAGCAGACGACACAAAAAGAAGCAGACGACCAGAAAGGGGGAAAAGGTGGAGCGCTGGTTAAAGAGCTCCAAAACGAAATTTGCAGCGAGTACTTCACATTTGTTCTTTTTGTAGCACCTCGGGGAGGGGGAGAGCGTAAATTCCTCACACATGCGCACACACAAGAAACGGAGAGGGGTGCAGTATCATGAGTTCAGGTGCTGGTGTCAATGGGGGAAGGGTCGGGGTAGAGTCGTTAGAGTCTATGCTGGGGTGCCTTCCTCCCGATGCTTCACTTGGGATGTGTTCTAAAAATGGGAGCTGTGGTTCTTCTTGTTTTTGAGTCACCCCGAGTTTTCTATTGGTATCGCAGTGCAGGTCTCTTCTTGTGGGGGCACCACCTAAAAATAAGCTTTGGCCTCCTTCCTCACCCTCTTTCTTCCCTTCTCTGCTGAGTTCTTCACGTTTGCACTGGGGCAGTACTCATCACCTCCCTTTATTCTCTCGGTCTAATTTATTTTCAACATTTTTTGTTAATATCTAATTGCAGAAATGCATGTCCTTTCATTTGCACTGTGCTTCAGAGTTGGCATAGATACCAGAATTTCTTTTTCTTCTCGCATTTTTGCTTTTTTTTTTTTTTTGTTAAACAATACATTTGTTTTTACTTTCTGCTTTTTTTTTTTTTCTTCTCCCTTGTGCAGTGAACTGAAATTTGTGATGTCTGGAATCTCCTTTTAAGAGTCTCTAAATGCAGGTTTAAAGAGGCCTTCGTAGTTTTTCACTTTTCGATTGTTTATGACAATTCCTACGCCGCATTTACACTGGCGGTTGAACCGTGTTTGCAAAGTGTTTGCAAACGCGGTTTGCTTAAAGATCCGATACAAATTCCTGCGAGTTTGATAATGAAAGCAAGTGGATCCATTTCGCGGTTGCGATTCGAACGCCAGTGTGAATGTACTTTTACTCTGCAATGTTATAGTTTGAAAAGCAAAGGCTGTTGCAAAATGTGCAGCTACTCTGTAACAACCATAAAGCGCCTTTCTTCCTCCACTGTTTTTTTTGCATGTAGCACTTTCTTTAGAGGGGAAGAAATGAGAATTAACAAACCACAAATGCACAAATTACTCTGACTACCCTTTACTCTTCACATCTTCCCCCCAAGTCATAGAGCACCTTTTGTTTGACCTCACTGCAATCTGGTTCATAATATTAGTCCGATGACCTCACTGTCATCAAGACTATACGCCAACCAGGTATTCCAAAATGCGACTTGGCGCTTCGCATCGGAATGCAAGGTAGAGCCTGCCAATCAAAGGAAAACATAAAAAAACACGAAGGGGAGCAAGCAATGACGATGCAGCTAATCTGGGGCAGTCATTGGTTGAGGTAGGGGGGAAACAAACGCATGTGAACACTTTGGGGGTAAAGAAAGCACGAGGTGTGCAAGAAGCAGACAAACTCACACAGCATATATTTTTGTTTATTCAACTTAGCTCAGCTGATATTGGCTCTGCTCGTGGACAGCTTTTTCTTGAATTTCTGGAGATGGGAAAACCGTGCGAGCACAGCTGTAATCGGCGCCCAGTGTGCGCGAGTGCACGGGAGTACCCATAGCTTTGATTTGATTGCCAAGAAAAGTTATCCCCAAGTATAGTCTGACTGTCAAATGCATTAAAAAGTGTGCAGCAATTTTCATGGATATATAGTCTCTTGTGTACCATACTTTAAGGAGCCTATTTCGCTGTGACTTAATTTTGTTGGATTTCACGCATTTAAAAACAGTTGCGACCAATGTGATCTCGCCAAGAAATCACACTCAGTGTTTTTTTTTTTTTAATGAGACAAAGATTTTTTTCCCATATTCACGCACAAATCTACGGGCCTGTTCATTCTCTAGCGCTGAATTAAGTTCTTGAGAAACATTCCGAAAGTTAGTACTTGTGACAACTTCTTGCATGGTTGTGCCTTTTTTTTTTTTACGGTAGCATCGAATGGTATTCATATTGTTTTTGAGCTCCTGTAACCACAGAGCAAACAGCATGAATAAGTAAACTAGTGAAGAAAATTTCGTCGCCTGCTCGAAACACTCTTGCACATATTGTGGTTCTACAGTAGCCGCATTTTGATGCTTTGCATTCCAAATAAATTAATGCAGTTCATTGGGTGTTGCAGCGTTACAGATGAAATGTCATGCTTCATTTGCCCTACCTCCGTTCTCTAAACAAAAGATTTTTCGGATAAAGTTGGGAGACGCAAAACATGTTTTGATCTGCGCTGGGTGTTTATTTCCGAGTTTTTCTCAGCTCGGGAGTCTTGCTGAATTCCTCTAAATACAGCGACCAAATCTGAATGCTGTATAATTATACATCAAATTAATTTAGCATGTTACACTTTTTCGTTACACTTTTTGGGGTCTTTTTTTTTAATTTTTTTTATAAAACCCTAGTTTTTTATTTTGTGTAAAAGAAGAGTACCCAGGATGTCTGTCTAACAACCAGGAAGACCTGGAATTGTCGGAGAATTTCGAAGCATTAAGGAATTGCCGGGGAAATTGGACAGATGGTTGGGTCGGGGGAAGTTACAGATGTGGGTGGTGCAGTGACACGCAAGGGTGTGGCATGGGTGGCCTTGGTGCCGAGTAAGACTTGCCTGAAGCATCGCTGGGCTGTGAAGCCACCACTGGGTTCATCGGATTAAATGGAAGTAGCTCAAACAGCTGCTGCAATCTCATACGCCACATTTTCTTCTTTGCAGTGGTTGGGAAACTTAGTCGAAATATTTGGAAAATTTGAAAGAAGCAATTTTGTAAACACCAAGAGAGCTCCAGGCGGAGTAGAGGTGCTCATGTTTGTCTTTCTTCCCATGTGCCCCACAGACGTTCACAGCATGGTGCAACTCGCACCTGCGCAAGGCGGGCACCCAGATCGACAACATTGAGGAGGACTTCCGCAACGGCCTGAAGCTGATGCTGCTGTTGGAAGTGATCTCCGGGGAGACCCTGCCCAAGCCCGACCGGGGCAAGATGCGCTTCCACAAGATCGCCAACGTGAACAAGGCGCTGGACTTCATCGCCAGCAAGGGCGTCAAGCTTGTGTCCATCGGCGCCGAGGAGATCGTGGACGGCAACGTCAAGATGACCCTCGGCCTCATCTGGACCATCATCCTCCGCTTCGCCATTCAGGACATCTCGGTCGAAGGTCCGTGTTCCGCTTGATCGCGCCATCTTACGGACTGGCCTAAGGGCTATCAAACAAAACCAAAGCCAAAAACCATAAGAAAAAACAAACAAATTTGCTGCAGATTATATTTTGTCTATTAGATCAGAGAGTCCGACGCTACATTGGGATTGCAAGTAAATGGTGCATTTAACATATAATTAAACCTAAAGAGATGCCCAGCTTTACCCAATTGAGGAGATTTGTAAATATTATTACTAAATGCAAGTACTGTTTCTTCAGTCACAAATGATTAACGCTGGTTGTAAGGGCATCTCTGCTTAACAGATACTCGCGCGCATAATAGCCATTTTTGATTTTGACAGTTTTACTACAATGTAGATATTAACATTCACAAAGTTTCTGTTTCTTTTTAAATACAATAGGCATGTGCGGGCACCATCCCGGTTTGAAAGTACTTTCTTCCTCAACACGTGGCTGCGATATTTGCATGTTTTGAAGTGTTGATTGCGGACTTTTAGCCCCTTCGAGCGTGCTTCTTGCTGAACACCAGTGCATCATGACCAAGAAACTGTGGTGTCTTTAAGTACTTTCTTGTAGTCTTCAGCTCCTGAATACCTTAAAGCCTTCCTCTGTTCATGCCAAGAAGACCTATGCGCCCACAGTTCGGTCAGCTGCCACGTAATGATTCCTATGTCCTGAAGTGTTTAACCCACATAGCCCAAAACAGACTTATTGTTTTTTTGCTCCACACAATTCATTAACTGTTTTCTGGTTATTAGACATTTTTGTAAAAATAACCATAGTTTTTCTTTTACTATCTTTAACTCTTTTCTAAGCATGCAGATATGAACTGGTTTGAACCACTTTTTGGTTTTTACTCTGGAGCTGAACCAAACCTAAACCCTTTCTTTTAAATAAAAACACAGACCGTAATGAAAGGTATTTCAGTTTTGACAGCCTGCTGATAGTTTTTATGCCGTTGTTCCTCCCGATAGAGATGACGGCCAAGGAAGGTCTCCTCTTGTGGTGCCAAAGGAAGACAGCGCCATACAAGAATGTCAACGTCCAGAACTTCCACCTGAGGCGAGTGCGTCTTTGCTGGTTCCCAGACATGCTCGGCACCGCTTGCCAAGCCCCGATCAGAATAATGTTTTGGATTCGTAATGGGATATCCGTCATCCACAAGATTTGTAGAATTGCTTTCAAAATGCCTTTGAGGTTTAATGCATACTTAGTCAAACTCTGTGGCGTACTCAGTGATTTTTTAACCTGCCCCAACCAACTAAATTTCCGGAGTCACTGGCCTTTGCCCTTTCTGGTATGCTATTTAGTATTGCGAAATTCAGTATAGCTATTGTGAAGTTGGCGGGCCAAAATGGGGCCAAAACCAACATTCAAATTTACCCGCTTTATTCAGTGCCGAGACGTCAGGGGAAGGCAGGCTTGCAGGTCCAGTGGGCAGTCAAATAATGAACTATGGGGAGCTACTGGAAAAAGCTTCCAAAGCATTCATTTGACACTATGAAGCTGTTTGTAATTGGTTAGGGAACAAAGTGAAGTTTCTCTGCTTTCTCTCATCTTACTTTTTCATTGTTGCCAGTAGAAACATTCAATTTGAAAAACACGGTGAGGAACAGAACTGTAAATTCAAAAACTTTGCGACACAAATTCTTTTTGGACCATTATTCAATTAATATTTCAGCGATGTTTTTGGTGTGTTTAGCAAATTTTCAGGCAAATCGGGGACTATGAAGAAAGTGCCAGAGTACCCTTTTAAATCTTCCCTGACCTTGCCCATGGGCCGTCAATCACCGGTGATCGATGGTTTGCAAGCGCCGTCAAGAAATTAAGTTTAGTGCAAAGAATTGTGCTCCACAATCTCGTGGATAACCGAAGAACTGTAGTTTCGGTTTCAATGCAGACTTGAGCTTGATCGAAAGCTGGTGGGCTGTCAAAAATGATCCTGGGAATGGTGGTGGCACTTGTCTAACATGGCTAGCTGCTTGCATCAGTCTTACTAACAAAGATGGCATTATTCGCTTAATTTAACTGTATGGGGGCATATTTTATAGACCTCAAGAGCTCTGGGCACACTTTAAATGGTGTTATAGACGTCGCTTAACAGATGATTCTGGGCAAGCAAAACTATAATTTTGAATGCTGTTTTGAGCCGGCGTGCTCCTTTAGCAAGGCAGACAAAAATTCTAAATAGGAAGAAACTGCAATCGAGGCTATGACAAAACCAAGGAAGAATGCAAAGAAAGCATTGTGTTGGGGATGTGAGGTGTTTTGTCTGTGCTTCACCAATATAAGCATTCCTTCGTTTAAAAGCACATGTGTTGCGGAGGCTGACTCTCAGACAAACCAAAAACAGACATTTGTTAGAGTACACTAGCTTTCAGGTGTAATAGCCGTGGGTGTGGGGCTCATTTTGCATATTCAGAATTTTTCTTGTATTTGTCCTTTAATTTGACATAGCTGAGGAAATTTTGGTGCTTATACACCTTCCGCACATACATTGTATTTTTAAAAAAAATAAAATTAAAAAATTTTTTTTTTAGCCTTATATCAGCCTGTTTTTTTTTAAAGAACAAATAATTGGCCACATTTTGATGTAAAAAAAAAGGAAAATAAAAGTGTTTGTATGGATCCTTGGAAAATTGCTGCTTTTTTTGTGTTCAGGGAAGAGTTAAGAACTGAGGAAACCGCAGCAAAAATGCAACGTAAAAATCTATGCCTGCTAGTAACAAGCTCAAATTTTCTTCAGAGCGGTATTGTGGTGGATTTCACCTTGTGAAATTTCAAGATGTGGCTCCATTCCTCGAAAAAATTCGAACAACTTCTTTAGCATTTTTTTTGATGACCACCGTTGCAGACAACAAACAGTCTCCCAAGAGCTGTGCACGTGGTGCCATCTCCCGGTAGATGCGCCAAGCACTTACTCCGAAGCGGACGACAGCGACGAGCAGGCGCGATTTTTCCCGCTCGTTTAACAGCCAGCTCCCTGGCTCATAGTAATACCAACAGTCTCCCGAGAGCTGTGCACGTGGTGCCATCTCCCGGTAGATGCGCCAAGCACTTACTCCAAAGCGGACGACGGCGACGAGCAGGCGCGATTTTTCCCGCTCGTTTAACAGCCAGCTCCCTGGCTCATAGTAATACCATCTATATTGTGGTGGAGTTTGTTAAAGATTTGGAACGGACTAAATGTGTTACAGTTATCCATGACACGAAGTGGGCTTGTCGCTTCTTTGTTTGAGAAGGGTCGGGACTGTGATTCCGCAGCCCCTATCTTCGTCTGGTTGTGGGTTCTGATACCGAGCGGTCTGTTGCACTCCTTGCAGCTGGAAGGATGGGCTGGCCTTCTGTGCCCTCATCCATCGGCATAGGCCGGATCTGCTGGACTACGGGAAGCTCAAGAAGGTGGGTCGCTCCGGCCACTGTTGTTGCGGCTGTCTAAATCCAGTCACAGCTCGTGCTGCATTTGTTTGAGGTTAAAGGGACGCTGAAACAAACTTGCACAATTTATTTTATGACTGCAGCCCCAATACTGCCCAGGTTCTACCTCGTAATCTATGTGATCATTACACTCTCTTTTTAACAAAACAAACTCTGTTCTCTGTTTGAATTAAAAATAAGCATTTCTGGCATATGGTACTTGCTTATGCTTCGAACTCTGTTTAACCTCTTATCCGTTTTGGTTGAGCCGAGCTCTTCACAGCGGAGCCGTCCCCAAACCATTCAAAACGAGTGTGCGGAGCGCAAGTTCGTCTGCTTCTTGCGCAGGGGCTATGGTGACGTCGGAACACTGATCTCTGATTGGCTCTGATTGAAGGATAGGTGGTAGACCTCAAGGCAGCTTGCTTTGAGGTCTACCCACTATCCTTAAATCAGAGCCAATCGGGGCATGGCGTTCTGACCTCACCATAACCCCTGCAAACAAAGCAGACAAACTTGCGCTCCGCATAGCTCGTCTGCTTTCCCCAGTTTGTGCACTGAACCATTTTGGACGAACCAGGCTTGGTTATAGCTTAGTTTGTGGCCCTGCCTACAAATGACAGCATTGAAGTTTTTTTTTTAAATTTTGCTCCCATTCCATTTGTGGTTAGAAATATAAAATTGAAGGAAACAAATTTGATTTTGAAGACAGCAATTAGGCAGCTTAGGGTGAGAAATCCCCCATAACTAAAACGGTTAAGGGACTAATAGTAGGTAGTACTTGTTTGTGTTTTGCATACCACTTTGGTGTTCCAATAAGGTTTTCAGGGTTTTGTATAGTTGTTGAGCGATTTGCTTCCTGGCATTTACTTTATTAGCGTGTCCCTGCTTTTGTTTCTTTCAGGAGAACCCGTTGGATAACTTGAATCTGGCCTTCGATGTCGCCGAGAAGCACCTCAACATCCCGAGAATGCTGGATGCCGAAGGTATGCCACATTGTTTGCTTTTAATTTTTTGTTGGTCCGGTAGCTGGATAGATAAGGGCTCTGAATGGTGTCTTTGTGGCAGCATTTTATTATTTATTCTACATTTTTTTGGAGAAAGGTGCACCTTCTTTGAAATGGTTCCAGCCTTTCACTGATTGCGTTTAAATCTCACAAGGACTTTTTTTGCTGCCACTGTTTGCGGCTTGAGTTCAGAAAACGACCTAGCTTCTTGTTTCTACCCGGTGCAAAAAGTTTCTCGCTTACGTCCGCAGTAATGCTGAGTGGAAGAGTTTTTCTGTAGAAGTGGTTTTCCCCGATTCAAGTTTAAATGCACCCAGAATTGATGTCTAGATGTTGTTCTAGGTGTCCCACTTCGGTGGTTTTTGTTTCACAAAATGTTCCCGAAGTCTGCCCTGTCGCAAAATTATTTTTTCGTGTAAAACTAATTTTGGAGCAGTGCTTTGGCCTAGACTGTCTCTTTATCCTCTCTTGTTTTAACTTTGGGCAGTGCTGCCTTAGAGTAGTAGCTGTGTTTCCTAAAGCTTATTGTGGGGTTGTAGCATATGGTGCATACAGTCTTCCCCACACTTAGCTGCACCACTTAGCTAACGATCTGAATCTATTTTATTCAAGTAGGCAGGTGCCTTGAAAAGAGGTCAATTTAAAGCTCCCCTTTTCCATTGTTCAATGGTCCATCTTCAAACTTGGGTAGCTCCTGCTCACACAAGGATAATTCTTGTGCCAATACAGTTTGTTACGAGTGGAGTTGTTATAAGCAGTATTCTGTGTTTTTAAGGTTTTATTTTTCTTAGAATTGGGGGATATTTTTCGGGGTTTATATTTTTTTTTGCGTATTCTGCGTTTTTCTATATTTATTTGCGGCGTTGGACAGAGACATCGGCATTGATTGGGGGCTTACTTTAAAGGAGACAAGGCACAAGCATAGGATTTCCCGACCTCCAGGTAGCATGCAAGTGACCCGGATACTTAGAAAACCTCCCGTTACTTATGAGAGAAGTACTTAGGTGGAAGTAAGGGGTCCCAAAGAAAGAAGCCTCACAAACACTTCATTGTCGGCGCAAAATAAAATTGTAGGTACAGGTTTGTACCCGTGAAGCTCGGGTTATTCGAGGATAGCTCGGATTTGAGATTTCTTCGTTTTCCCCGCTTTTGTGAAAACCGGCTCAGGAGTTAGTTGTCGACGTTCTTCGGCGTAACCCGAAAGCATGGAACCCTAATTATGAGACAATGTCTCGCGACGTTAAGTGCGCGCTACGTTTTGGTCGTGGGCGGGAATTTGTTTGATCCGACGTTGACACGTGGCTATGTTGTGGGGTGTCCAGACATGGTGTACACTGCCAAACCGGACGATAGGGCCGTCATGACGTACGTGTCGTGTTACTACCACGCCTTCCAGGGGGCCCAGCAGGTAAATAGACGCACGTACGCCCCTCCCCCTCCCCCACGCCACTCCAGAGGTCTTTGTCGACGACGGTTCTTGACATAGTCTTTCCACTAACATTGGATGAACGTGAATGCAGTGCCGTGGTCTGACAGTGTGCTGTTTTCGTAAACCAAGTCCTTTTCGCTGGCATAGCTCTGCGTGTCGGGATGTGCATTTGAATTTGACACGGAACGCCGTCTCCGAAATAGTCGGTGCAAGCAGGCTTCTCGTAGAACCCGCGCGAAATCGGATTTGTTCCCGGCAGTCTGCCTTCATTACTAAAACGTTGCACGATGCTGTGCACCACACGGTCTGCACAAGGCCGTCGACTAACCTTTTCAAAGATTCGGTTGTCAAACTTGCGAATGAAAGCAGACGAAAACAATTTGTTCCCTTACACGTTTTGCCCCTGTTGTGGCGGTCTTGACTGCAAAGATTGCTCGTGTTTTTGCAGACGTCCTCCTTCCAGCACGGGTTTGTTGTTTTTTGGACTAAACTAGGCCCTATTGGAGAAGACTAGAAGCCGTAACAACCCCTTGGCCGCTTCTAGGTGTAGAAACTGGCTAGTCTCGCTAGCGTGACAAGAACTGACAGTTGTCTGCCGACGAAACAAAACCGGCCTTCTGGTCGCTTCGGTGGCTCGGAAGCCGGCCTACGGATTCCCAGTTTGCAGGTTGGAATCTCTGCTGAGGTGCCTGCAACCTGACTGGTGTATTGTGGAAAAGGCACTACGGTTTCGGTTCGACCACCCTGGGTGGTCGAAATTATTCCTCAGTCCTCCGCTGGGAAGTGCCAGATGCCCTTTGTTCTTTTAACTCGTAAAACCCCCAAACTTTATTTTTTTGTTAAAATTGTTTTTTTGTAGTCTTGGAGAGGTCCCCCAGTACCGCATGCAACAGTCTACTGTGGCCGGTTGTTGACGGTCGAGTGCCGAAACTAGCGAGGCGCATTCGATTTCTCCGCGTGCAACGTTTGCCGTATTGGGACGCAACTTGATACCGAAAGTCAGAGGGAGTATACCCTTGGCGGTGTTGCCTCCCCTATCTTAACCCTTCTCCAGCATGAGCGTGCAGTGTGGTCCCCCTACTAATGCCCCGTGTGCTGTTTCTCTCCCGCTCCCCCTCCCTGCGTATGGCTGTCTCCATTGTGCCGGGTGCTGCAGACATGAACAGCACGGCCATGCCCGACGAACGTGCCATCATGACTTACGTGTCGTCCTACTACCACACCTTCGCTGGAGCACAGCAGGTACGCGGCGACTGCCTTGCCATGGCCGCTTCGACGTTTTACCGCTTCATTTGAGATTTCGGCTACAGTCCTGTCATGTACATACAGGGTATTCACAATCTTAGGGTTAGATGAGCCTGAAAAATGAGCGTCTGCGCGTAATGAGCTAGGATATTTTTCCAGAGGTGTGTTGAGAGCAATCTTGCCTTGAGAAATTTTGTAGTGTAACTTCATTTCAAATAAAAAATAGAATGAAATACTTAAAATTCGAATGCCGGATGTTGGTGAGGACTGAATGGTTCAGCCGAGAGTCTGGCCACGTGCTCCTATCTAGAGCTGTTGCCACGCATCGCTGTAGGAAGGTGGCACGACGGCAACAGTCGATTGAATTAAAGGTGAGCTTAGCGTAATTTAAGTTCTCTAAGATTAAATTCGCACAATAAGGTCAGTACCAGAAACTAAATGAATACAGCAGACTCACTCTGCAATAATGCAAGAAAGTTTTGAGCTAAAATCGGAAAAATTTGTAAACTGACCCAAGCGTGAAAATTCCCCGTAGTGCTGCAATCTCGTAGAATCTGGGGGTTCAGCATATAGCATTACCGTAAAATACCGGGGTGGCTGCCATCTCACTTTCGCTGAAAACTGGATGAATACAGACATGGGCACTTGTCCCGTCAAACCGGGTACTTAACATATAATTTGCAAAACTCCCAAGTTTAGGAAATGCTAATAGTGGGTGCCTTCAGCGAAGTGGGCGCTTCCACAGTATTTTACGGTATTGTTTTACATTCCAATTTTTTATTTAATGCTCCAAGAACTTCCTTGGGGGGAAGCTTGCATGAACATGGCATGAGAAGCATGGTTTGCACGATTTGCTTTCTCGAGACTGCTCTCAAGAACAGTGCCCTTAAGGAAAATTGAGGGGCTAATGGAGTAGGATAGCCTTGTGAAGAACAGTGTTTAGCAACTGTATAAGTGTATAAATCTGGGCGAGTTGGTGACGCATTCAAACGAAAATACAGCACAAAACGACGACATACCAGGGGAAGACACAAACAACTCCTGGTTTCTCTGTGTCTTCCTCTGGTCTGTCATCATTTTGTGCTGTTTTCTCGTTTCAGTGTTTAACAAGCACTTAGCCACGTAATGTAAATTGCTTGTCTCAATTTAAAATTCGAACTGGTGAAACAGACTGCAAATATATTGTAGAGCGTCTTTGAAGGACTGATGAAATCAAGCTATATATATATATATATATATCATACTTGTGGACAACTTTCTGTGGCTGTGCATTGAAAGCTATGGGTGCATAGTCACCTTGAGTGCCAATCAAAACTATATCAAAGCTGTGCACGAGCACTCTTCACTTGTTTTAAGTACCTCTGAAGGTTGTCCACGAGTATATGGTAAATCCAAGTTGAAGCGTGCTTGTACTGCAGGTAGACATTTGTCATATCTTGTAAACTTTAGAATGAAGACTCGGAGGTTAAGAACAGTTTGATAGCAGCACGCTTTTTCTAAACTGTTTCAATTATTAGACTTAGCTCTAGAAACTTTGGTGAATTAGTTGGAAAAAATCGCAGTGGCCGCTTTTTGCTGACACTTTCTTGACTACAGGCTGAGACCGCTGCCAACCGCATCTGCAAGGTGCTCAAGGTGAACCAGGAGAATGAAAGGCTCATGGAGGAGTATGAGCGCCTTGCCAGCGACGTGAGTTGTTCTGCCCTATTAGTGACGATTAATGCCGAATTAGTAATTGATATTTTTAGTTAATATGCATATTCTCGGACTTGAAGTGGTGCTGTAAAGATTGAATGAGGTGTAATAAGTCTGCGTAAATAACTGGATTTCCGTTTTAAAGTATGTAGTGGATTCCTGTAGGTGACAATAAAATTCTGCAACTTTTTAAGTCTAAATATTAATCAGTTAATTGGTCCCATAATGATAACGGGGAAAACATTTGCTTCTGGTGCCCTCAAGCAGTGATTGCTGAGGGTTGTCCAAGCTCTTACTATCAAATTTTAACGATTTCGGAGATTATGCAAAGTACATGGTGAAATGAAGACACTTGAAAAAAACTGTCTTTATTTCATACCTCTGTAAACAGATGGGAAGTCGAACCTTCCAGTTACCACAAGCCACAGAAATGCGGTAAACGTCCATGTGGTTTCGCTTCTCCGGCATTTCAGAAGACCAGATTATTGCACGTACCCAAATAGTCCATGACCAGAGTCGAATGGAAAACGAAGACAGATTCTCGGTTTCATGCTGCCAAGGTATCGCATTGCTCAAAACCGAATGGATTTGTATATTCGCACAACCCCTGCACTTCTTTTCAACATAACTTGGCAAACGGCACGAAAGCTACGGCCTCAACAACTCAATAAGAATATCTAAATGAGGTACGGTCGCAGTCATACTTAAATGGAGCAAATACGAAGCCTACCTCTGTTGCAGATTTTGGTCTTTTTTTATGCACTGATATACACAGCTTTGCGCTAATGTCAAGAGTTGTTTTTGTTGTTTATGTCCCATCTCATATACGCTATACCGTAAAATACTGGGCAAGCGCCCACTCAAAATATAGAGATAATCTCGAAAAAATGGGGGATGGGCGCTTGTCCGGTCATCAATTTTATTTATAAATGTACTGTGCATATTTTCTCAGATCTCAGAAATTTGGATATGGGCACTTAATGTGGAATGGGCGGATGCGCGGTATTGTATGGTACCTTCGGTTTGCTTAAATATGCCCAAGTGTCGTTACGCTTGGGAGTGAGATCTGATTACAACCTTTCGCATCTCCACACTAGGGGTGTCCATAGTGTCAGTGTACCAACGTGGCCCCTGGTGAACCTTGCAGCGTTGCCAGGTCTCTCCTCGAGGTTGCAACTTTCGCCGTCTGCCAAGTGGTGCCGAAACCGTGCGGCATTTGGTTCCCTTTCTTTCAGCTGCTGGACTGGATCCGTCGCACGACCCCGTGGCTGGAGAACCGCACGACGGACAACACCCTGCCCGGAGTGCAGAAGAAGCTGGAGGAGTTCCGGGCGTACCGACGAGCCCACAAGCCTCCCAGGGTGGAACAGAAGGCCAAGCTGGAGACCAACTTCAACACCCTGCAGACCAAGCTGAGGCTGAGCAACCGGCCAGCCTACCTGCCCTCCGAGGGCAAGATGGTCTCGGACATTGCCTCCGCCTGGAAGGGCCTCGAGACGGCCGAGAAGGGCTTCGAGGAGTGGCTGCTCTCGGAGATGATGAGGCACGGTGCCTTCCTTCTTTAACCTCTTGTGCGATCTCCCGGCTTTCTGGTTGGCCAGCTGTCTCCGATCTGGAGGCTGGAGTGGCGAGGTGGCCGCATCGCAGCAGTCGGGTGGCTGAAGCTGCGAGTTGGTTAGGCCAATCAACCACCTGTTTTAGACCACGTTATCATGCTCTGTACACAATATCGTGTTGGGAGAGCATTGTCAGGCAACAAATGTAGGGTGGCCAATGCGGACGGCATAGCAGCGGTTGCAACGACATCAGAATGATGCCGAGTTCTGATTGGCTTTGATTGGAAGGATAGTGGGTAGACCTCAGTGCTGGATGTCTTGAGGTCTACCCACTATTTTGAGAGTGCAGCTCTTACCGCTCATTCACACTGGAAGTGGATCCGCGTTCACAAAGCGGTTGCGAACGCGGTTGTATAAAGATCCAGTGCAATTGCACGCGCACTTGATGTCATTGAGGCGCGTGCAATTGTACTGGATCTTTATACAACCGCGTTCGCAACCGCTTTGCGAACGCGGATCCGCTTCCAGTGTGAATGAGCGGTTAGACGTCCGTTTCTGCGGTTGCCGTTGGCGTAACCTTGCACGTTGCGTTATCGGACGTCGCAGACCTTTATGCCAATTCAATTCCCCGCTAAATTTGGCAAAGAAACTGAATTGCTGTCTAGGTCTGTGATATTTCATAATGCAACACTGCACATTCAATTTCCTCGCTAAATTTAGTGGCGAAACTGACGTCGCATGACCTCAACATTAATTTAGTTTCCCCGCTAAATTTAGCGGGGAATTGAATTGGTGTTGACGTCATGTGGCATTAGTTTTCCCACTAAATTTTGCGGGGGAACCGACTTTGTGTATAAGTCACGTGACAGGAAGTCGTGCAACATCATTTTCCTCGCTATATTTAGCTGGGAAAATGAATTGGTGTTGAGGTCACGCAACTTAAATTTTCCCGCTAAATCTAGCGGGAAAACTGAATTTGTTCATAGGTGACGTGACACAAAGTCACGTGACGCCATTTTCCCCGCTACATTTAGTGGGAAAGCTGAATTAATGTTGAGGTCACAGGGGGTCAATTTTCCAGCTAAATTGTACAGGGAAACTGTGACGTCATGTGACGTCACAGGCCACGGCTTCACAAGATGCGGCTTCACAAAATCCGAGTAACTAGCCAAAAACATCCCATATTGAAACAAACACTACTCACTTTGCGTTATGGGGCTCCCATTGTACCTTCCTCGTCCTCCCTGGCCTACCCTCAAACAAAACCAAAAAAAATGAAATATATACATTTATATTTCTCTCTCAAATTCTCTAACACGGTATATCACAAAATCGACATACCTGAAGAGCTGCGCTCTAATTTCGCAATACAGAAAAGTGTAAACGTCTAATATTTTTCAATCGACCAATAAGAGCTCAGCGTTCTGTCATCATCGGGAACCCTAAGCAAGAAGCAGACAAACTTGCGCTCTGCGTTCGTCTGGTGGCTTCCCCCACTCCGTCAGTCTAGTGGTGAACAGAGTATGGGTGTGTGTTATATCACGGTGGTTATGCAGCATAATGGTCATTGAATTATTGTGGTCATGTTAACTATATAACACGATAATGACTGTATAACAATGGTTATCATGTTTTAGTAGCTGAGTACAAGTGTAATCTTGTCACTTAGTATTTTGTGTGGCATAGTGGTCTTCATGTCATAGAGCCCATCTAGGGCCGCAGTTACTACACCATATCTATTGTGCAGCATAGTAGTTGCGTATTGGTTGTGTAGTATGGTAGATATGTATTACATCACAGTTGCATAGCTCGACTTCAGCGCAGTGGTTATATTACATTGTAGTGGTCGGTTAGCGTAGTGGTTGTCAGACATGGTAGCATTGCATCTGGAACGTAAGTGTCGATTCACTCAAAAGCTGCTTCTTCTGTGCTGGAAAGGCCCTAATTAAGATACTTTAGCACAAATTTAAACCCCTTTGCTAGCTTTGGTTAGGATGGAGGTCAGGTCTGAGCCCTCTGTGTGGGCGCAGGCTGGAGCGGCTGGACCACCTCGCCCAGAAGTTCAAGCACAAGGCTGATATCCACGAGGAGTGGACCCGGGGCAAAGAGGAGATGCTGCAGAGCCAGGACTTCCGCCAGTGCCGCCTCAACGAGGTCAAGGCCCTCAAGAAGAAGCACGAGGCCTTCGAGAGCGACCTGGCCGCCCACCAGGACCGGGTCGAGCAGATCGCTGCCATTGCCCAGGTGATTGCACTGTCTCCTCACAATGGGATCTCTTTGCAGCGGTGTTGAGGCCGGCATTCGGCTTATGTGTGCCAAGTAAGCCATGTTGCAGTGAAGTAGTGAAGATTGTTTGTCAAAAACTGACTTTACTGTAGCAGGCTTCTAGCGTGCAAGAGTGTACTAAAGTAGGGTAATTTTTACAAACACTTGCAGGTTTCTCAAGCACTTGGTGTGGAACAACATAAAGAGCAACAGTGCAGCTGCTGCGTTTTGTGCCTGCTTGAGAAGCTTGCATTTACTCGACTTGCAATCTGTCTGATGTCTAATCCGACTTGCATTATATATTTATCTGGTCCCCAGTTTCACTTGCACCCTATTTATCTGATGCCCACTTTATATCATGTCCAATCTGCACGACACCAAATTTGACTTGGGCCGTCTATCTGACACTGAATCTGTCCGATGCCCAATGTTTGATGCCCCATATGTCTGATGTCCTATATGTCCGATGCCCCATCTGTAGAACGCCCAATCTGCCCGACCACCAGCCTTACTTGCACCGTATTTATCTGATGCCCACTTTGTATCATGTCGAATCTGCACGACACCAAATTTGGCTTGGGCCGTCTATCTGACACTGAATCTGTCTGATGCCCAATGTTTAGTGCCCTATATGTCTGGTGTCCAATATGTCCGATACCCAATCTGTCTGATGCCCAGCCTCTCTGACACCCAATCTGTACGACGCCTAATCTCTACGACACCCAGTTTATACGAAGCCCAATCCGTACGATGCCCAATCCCCCCTGATCGACCGCCCTGGCTTGGAACGCAGGAGCTGAACGCCCTGGGCTACCACGACTCCGCGAGCGTGAACGCCCGCTGCCAGCGCATCTGCGACCAGTGGGACCGGCTGGGCACCCTGACTCAGAAGCGGCGCTCCGCCCTGGAGGAGGCGGAACGGGTGCTGGAGAAGATCGACCACCTGCACTTGGAGTTTGCCAAGCGGGTGGCCCCCTTCAACAACTGGCTGGACGGGGCACGCGAGGACCTCGTCGACATGTTCATCGTCCACACCATGGAGGAGATACAGGTGATACGGCCAAACCCTTTCGATCGGGCGGCGGCTTGCACCGCCTAGCGAGAACTTTTAATTGCAACGGTTAACTGGTTTGTGATGTCTACTATAACAAGGGTTGTAGTGCTGGATGTTCCATGTGGCCAATCTGTCCCCACGCTCGCGTACCCGCTTCGCAGGGCCTGATGGAGGCACACGAGCAGTTCAAGCAAACGCTGGGCGAGGCGGACAAGGAGCACAAGGCCATTGTGGGGCTGGCCCAGGAGGTGCAGGCCATTGCGGGCCAGTACCAGGTGCCTGGGGGGGTCGAGAACCCCTACACCACCCTCACCTCGCAGGTGGGAACCCTTCTTCCTGAAGGATGGTGCCACTAGTCGGTTGCGTGAAGTACCGTCGCAGACAGTGTGAGCCGATACCGTCATTCGTATTTCTTTGGTGTACTTCTTGCTTTATGAGAAAGCTGTGGTTCGAACTAGGAATGAAATGCGAAGTGGAGGTCCCATACTTTGGACTCAAATCGAGATATAATCGAGCTTGTGGGGACTGCAGACTCCAAACAAGGCCACATCGGGTGTTTCAATTCATGTTGCCCCGAGGGCTACGCTCGAAACGATGGAGCAAATGCCGAAGAAGGTAAACCCAGTTAAAAATACCCATGGGTTCCAATTGGAAAGTCAGTTGGTACCAATTGGAATCTGAGAAATCCCAGTTGGAATCACAGAATCCAATTGGTTTTGGCATTACCAATTGGTGACTCCAATTGGAATTGAGATTTCCAATTGGAACCTAATCCACCAACTGGCCATTCCAGTTGGGATGCATTTTTCCAACTGGTCATCCCAGTTGGGATAGTTGTTTCCAATTGGTATCCAGTGATACCAATTGGGTTACATTTTTCCAATTGGTGACTCCAATTGGAAATGAGATTTCCAATTGGAACCTAATCCACCAACTGGCCATTCCAACTGGGATGCATTTTTCCAACTGGTCATCCCAGTTGGGATAGTTGTTTCCAATTGGTATTTAGTAATACCATTGGGTTACATTTTTCTAATTGGTTATCCCAAATGGAATGTTTCCCTTTAGCATCTCTTTCGTGATCCCAATTGGAATGGCAGTGCCCAATTGGTATGTGATGCACCAATTGGCCATTTCATTGAGTATTTAATTATTCCAATATTAATTGAAATAAACAACTTCTAAATGGTAAATAGTCTTTAAACCAATCATCAGACATTCCAATTAAGGGAGGACACTATTCAAAAGGGTCAGCCTTGAAAATTTTTATCTGTGTATACATAAATTGTACAAAAGATTAGTCCTATTTATCAGGAACGCACTGGCATTGTTAGGAAAACTATAACTGGGAATTAAACTAATGTAGTACGCAACATTATTTTTTAGTGCAACTGAGAAAACAAATTTTTTTTTAAAAGTAATTTATTTTATACTAACATCACATTGACAAATCAAATAGATTTTTGTATTTGTAAAAAAAAACAAAAAAACTCACCGTTGCGTTGCTTATTAAATTCCAGTTAGCAAAAACAATGAGTGAGCCTTTCTTTTGGTGCCATTGCAAAACAGTAGTTTTCCGAAAGTGAAATTTATACCAAGAAGTGGACTGGAGAAAAATGTGTTCAAAGTGCTTGAACCTCTAGCTTTTCTTTAGCATTGGTGGACCCAAAATAATTTTTAACAAAATAGCTATGCAGTCAAAACAAATTAAACTTTCTGGGGATATTCTCTAGATGTTGGTGAATGTAAAAATGGCCTTTTTTAAAAATATATATTTTTTTTTTGTATCGAAGGCATGTACATGAAAATTGAAAGCGGAGGGATTTTTTTATTTGTTTTGTATTGTGTTGTAATCGATTTCTTAAATATCGCGTGTAAACTTTTTTTTTTCCCTAAAATCGGCGGGAATCGTTGGAAGCGTCTGTGCACACTGGGCAAACAAAGATGGCGTCCGCGTCTGATCTCTGTGCGCACATGGCTCCGATCTTACCGATGGCACGCACAACATCAGTTGCATGGTTACAGTAGAGATTCAACAAGTCATGTTTTATTGCTGCGAGTGCTGAGTAGTGTGGTTATAATTACTTTATTTGGCCTGCCGCCTCGTTGGAGCGCGAAGGATGGATAACAAAGTTTAAGGGCGCAAGGTAAGGAAACTTCTTTGTTTCTTTTCTTGATGCTTGCTGCATTGCAAATAGGCGATTTCTGATTAATAAATATCCTGAGACACTCCTAGCTATATGGTCAGTGCAGGGTAGGAGCCTGAATGAATGAAGCTCTACAAAACAGACTCTTTTGAGCTGTCCACTTGAAAGTCTTTGTTACCCAGTGTAATGAAATGTCAGTGAAAAAAAAAATGGTTTTAGGCGCTTCTAAAAAAGAAACTATGGATTCCTCCTGAAAGCACTGACTTGCCACAGTTTACCTTAATATCCATAATTTGCTTTTGAGATTATGTCTTAATTTAGTTTTTGTATTAGAGTGAACACATTAAGTGTCATGCTTTCAGAAGTTGTAATTGTGGTGTGAGCAGTTACTAGCTAATAATCTTGAGTGCATTGTTAACGAATTACTGGTTTCAGTTTTCAGTGGAAAATGGAGTAGGTGTCAATTTCAGTGGGAAAATGAAGTACAGGTGTCACTTTTAGTGGGAAAATGGTGGCTAACAGCTCTCGAATACATGGAGCTGAATGGTGCCAGTTACCGAAAATGGGCCCCGTTTTCGTAATATTTTTTTGAAAATCAGTTATAACTTTTAATTGAGATAAATTAGCTCTGAAACTTTGGCATTTGGTTTCAAACCGCTGACGCTACATTTGGGGGGAACGCTGTACTTGAAGGAGCCGTGTAACAATATTATGTCGAATGTTTCTCACTCTACACAAGCTTACTGGCACCAGTGGGACCCGAAATACTCGCACGCAATGCCACTGACCAGGGAGCTTCTTTTTTGCCGCATAATTTAAAGAGTAAAAGCGAATACCTCTTTTCATTCTCTCATTTGGTTGTGGGGATAGTGTTGTCGTCATTGTCAACAACATCAATCCTCAGGAGTTTGCCATAAAGCTTTGTGATACCCACGGTGACAATATTCAAGTGTGGCTCTTACAGTGGACATGAGCACAGCGTGAGCATTCTATGTGAGCTTAAGACAATACCTCGACACGCACTCAAGTAGTGGCTGGTGCTCAGTTACTGCGACGACAGGAGTAGCCGAACCTTAGCAATCTGTGGAATTCATTGTGTGCCCTGTGCTTTGCCAACTACAGGGTGTGGATATGATAAACATAGGTGGCATGTAATCAGCTTCAGATCATGTGGTCACTTGCTCTGTCTGCGAGTTTAGGAGGTAAACGCTGGTATTTTTTGTTTTCTTCTGAAATTGCCATGCGTGGATAGAAAATCTATGTGTTTTATAGGTTGTGAATGTCAATGAATAATCAAAAGCTGTATTTACTGAAAGTACAAGGTTTGTTGTACTGCCCCTTTAATGACGCGTCAAGCATCATACAACTTTGACCTCATGTGAGCCAAGTGTTTACCCATTTATTGTAGGTCTAGACTTTGCTACATTCTTTCACAATGCTTCTTAGATATGCAACTTAACTGGTACACATGTTCGACATGCAGGAGGCAGAGCTGAGCATGAATGAGATGGCTATACTGTCATCAACTGCATCCAAGTTCCGCTGAACATCGGTCTCAACGTTCAATCTGTAATATTTAGGTGTCCTGCTAGTCAAAATAAAGCTTTCATTTGACATATACTCTTCACTGTTGTGCATCCTGTGCATATAATGAATGTCCAGTTAAGCTAAGCTAATTGCTTGTTCTTGCTTCAAGATTTGTGCCAATGAATGGTAGCTAAAAAACAAGCAAGTGGGCCCTTTTTGTAGTTTCGAGTTTGAAAGTCCCAAAACACAACTTGTTACACTTCCAATGGGGAAAATACTAATTGGTATTTTTATAACTGGGAGTCAGAAAACAGATGGTTATGGTTCCAATTGGAATACAACCGATTGGTTACGGTTCCAATTGGAATACAACCAATTGGTTACGGTTCCAATTGAAAAAAATGCCAATGGGTATTTCTCCAGTTGGGAGTCCGAAAACACAGATGGTTACGGTCCCAACTGGAATAGTACCAACTGGTAATAGTTCCAGTTGGTAAAATTCCAATGGGTTTATTTCCAATTGGACAAATACCAATTGGTATTTTTCCAGTTGGGAGTCCGAAAACACAGATGGTTACGCCAGCTGGTACCAATTGGAAAAACCAATTGGACCCAATGGGTATTTTTAACTGGGGGCATGGGCCAACCAGTCAAAGACGGTAAAACTTGAACATGGGAAGAGGGTAAACAAAGGGCAGACGAGTGCAACGCCGTCACACTGCGTTTGTCCCCTTTTTGTCTACCTTCTTCGCGCGGTTAGGTTCTTGCTGTCGAGCCCACTCTCGAAGCAGTGTTCCAAGACCACAGTTTAAAGAGACAACATCTGGGCACGCCGCTTTGGAATAGGCACGGGAGTTTTTGAATCTATGCCGCGACTTGGAGCTAAGAGGAAGGCCATGGATGGAGAAGCAAATAGGAAAACAAATGGATCCTTTTGAAAACCTTGTCAAGCAACATTGGTGGTCGTCATTTCTTGGGCACGAAGCGTGGGACTGGATCCGAGTCCTCGCCAAACGCCGACGCTCATGTCCAACACTTGCTCCGAATACTACGTGCCAAAAGCAACGGCAGACTCGGAGAATTGGTGCAGCTTTCACCAGATGGCGCTCACTTTTGAAAGGGGAAAATGCAAAGGATGTTGGAGGTGTCTCGCGTTGTCAGTCCTGTGACCCTGGTACTTGTTTGCAACCCTTGACAGGTGATCACCACCAAGTGGACGGACGTGAAGCAGCTGGTGCCGAAGAGGGACCAAACCCTCCAGACGGAACTCATGCGGCAGCAGTGTATCCTTGCTTGCCTCGAACGGCCAACACGACGGAACAACTGGGCACGGCGGTGGACAGGTTGCGGGGTCGCAGAAATTCAGGCGGCCTTTTTGTATCGGACTTGAGTCGCGTCCGAAAGCGACTTAGGTTCCGGATCGAGTTTGCTTCCTCTCCGAAAACTGTGGATTTTCCAACTGGTGAGGTAGACAATTCATGGGAAAGAGGGAAAAGTATGGCTTTCATACAGACTGTACTAGCGCTCCGTCAATTCTTTATTTCCCAACGACCTTTCCTAGTCACCCGGTGCAAATACAGCCTATGTCAGTGCTGCGTTTCTTCCTCTCTCTGCCGTGCTTTTTCCCTCGGAATCTTCCGAGCTGTTTTCCAGTTTTGCAACTGGCGAAGAGGAAAGCTCGGAGGTGAGAGGGCCAAGTCCAGGGCCGATACGGCGCCGACGAGCAAATAATTAACGCCAGTTCAACGTTGACCGTGCGTTAGTTCGGTGCCGACATAATGCCGACCCACAGGCTGATTCAGCTCCACTTTAACGCCGACCCTGCCATTCTAATGCCGACCCTACTCTAATTGAATGAACTAAGTGCACAGGCGAGCTGGGTGTAGCTAATCATGCCGTTTAACACCCGAGACTGGTGCAGAAAGGGAAAAAAACTTTTAGTTGCCACTGCACGTGAACCAGCCGTGTCTTTTCTGCCTTGACCCCCTACCCGACAGCGAACGAACGTCTGCGGCGCAAGTTTGCCGAGAAGGCGAACGTGGTGGGGCCGTGGATCGAGCGGCAGATGGACGCTGTGGCGGCCCTGGGCATGGGCATGCAGGGCTCGCTGGAGGAGACCTTGCACCGGCTGCAACAATACGAGCAGGGCTCGGTGCAGTACCGGCCCCACATGGACGAGCTGGAGAAGTGCCACCAGGAGATCCAGGAGGCCATGATCTTCGAGAACCGCTACACCCAGTACACCATGGAGACCCTGAGGGTGGGCTGGGAGCAGCTGCTCACCTCCATCCACCGCAACATCAACGAGGTCGAGAACCAGGTGCGTCGGGGGGCTTACTCTCCCTCTGTCTCTTAGGCATCAAAGTCTCCTTGTCTAAGCATCGAGGTCGTCCTTGATTCCTAGGTACGGCCTTGGCCCTCCTAGCAATACCACCTAGAAAGTAGAGCAGGCCGACCATTCTCCTTCTTTCTGCACTTGCAGTGGGCAATTGCACCGCTCCGTTTGATCGCTAGTCTCTTTTAGTGCCGACCAGAAGGAGAGCGATTGGCGGGGGTGACTCACTCGCGGGGCGACGTCCTCTATCGCGCAGATCCTGACGCGCGACTCGAAGGGCATCACCCAGGAGCAGCTGAACGAGTTCCGCATGTCCTTCAACCACTTCGACAAGAACCGGACGGGGCGCCTGGCCCCCGAGGAGTTCAAGTCCTGCCTGGTCAGCCTTGGCTACAGCATCCGCAACGACCGACAGGTGGGTCCCATTGTCCGCCCCAGCTGTCGAACCGCTAAAGTCATATTTAAAGTGCATTGTCGAGATGGGAGCGACCAGACTCGTACATTTGACTGAATCTGTCCATGGTGCGAGGTTGACGTGGTGCCACGTCGTCGCAGGGTGACGCGGACTTCCGGCGCATCATGAACATCGTGGACCCGAACAACACGGGCTACGTGCACTTCGACGCCTTCCTGGACTTTATGACCCGGGAGAGCACGGACACGGACACGGCCGAGCAGATCATCGACTCCTTTAGGATCCTCGCCGGGGACAAGGTGAGAGACCTCGCGCCAGTTCCGTTGCATCCGATGCTTGTGGTCTACTCTTGCGGCCCTTTTTGCTTCCTTACCAACTTCCTTGTCTGCCAACTTAAACGGGCCTTGCGAGAACATTAGAATGAAATGTTTCTTGATTTACACGAGTTTACTTGTATTTGTGTGAACCAAGCATATTAGCCTGCATAGGGTGCCTCAAGCGAACCTTCTGCCGTAAAACAAGCCGGAAAAATCGGCACCTGCACATAGCTTATACTTTCACTGAATGCACACTGAGCAGGTCAGTTTTACTGTGTGAAATTCCAAGACATAGTTCTTTTTTCGTAAGGCATGGGGGCAGAAAGCTTGTCAAAGTCAAGGTTGAGCGCATTTGCAAACGGCCGAGGAAGTGACGCTAATTACTTGCGGTGCCATCTTCCAATAAACATAATGGGCAGACGACGCACTCTGTTGTCTGCTTGCTGCACCTATCGGGAGATGGCATCATAAAAAAATAGCATCGCTTACATGGTCGTCTGCAAATGCGCTCAACCTTTACGTTGGCAAGTATTTTGCCCTCTTATTTTTACAAAAAGACAACTATGCCTTAAGATTTCATGCTGTAAAACTGACCTGCTCAGTCTGCAGTCGGTGAAAGTTCTAGCTTTCTATGTGCAGGTGCCGATTTCTCCGGCTCGTTTTACATCGGATGTTTCGCTCGTGCCTTCTATATGTGCTAGTATACTTGGCCACTGACAAAGAGGCTTCTTTGTAGAGATGTAATTTCAAGGACAAAAGTGGACTTTTTGTCATTCTCTCCTTTTTGAAACTTAATGACATTGTCGAGGGAATTGCTGCATCAATGTAGTCACGGGGGTTACTCCATGGTGACATTAGTCAAATGCGACTCGTAGATTGGACAGTAGCGCCATGAGCACTTATTTTGGGCTTGTGAAAATCAATACCTAAATGAGCATTCGTCCGACGGCTGTGCTGGCGGCAACAGCCATAACACTGTCTGGAGTTTCGCATGTGCTATGCCAACCTCGGCTTGTGGCTATAACGAACCCCAGTGGCATATACAGTATAGACCACTTACAACAAAACCGCTTATAGTGCAGGACCGGGTATAACGCGGTTTTTTTAAACCACCGGTTCACCTCCCATAGAACTCCATGTAATTACATACTGCTTAAAATGCAGGCGCACGAAGGGAAATACCGGTTATAGTACGGTTTTTGGCACAGCCCGCCGACCGCGCCGACGACCGGAGCAGCGAGCTCGCTTCCCTGTGCGACACTAGATAACGGCGCTGACGGCGCGAGCCGCAAACTGCACTCGCGGGGCAAGGAGGTTGCTCGAAAACGCGGGGAGAAGCGAAAAGAGAGGCTTCAGTTGCCATAACAACGGAGGGACGCACGCACGAGTCGTTCATGTGCGTGCGTCCCTCCGCTGCGTTGGAAACAAAGAAACAAACAACCGCAACGACAGACCAATCCCAGGTCGAGGAGAAGTGTTCGCGCGCGTTGAATGCCGGTCGCGGGCGTCGATTGTGATCGTCGTCGTAGACGGCGTGCATCTCATCGTTCTGCGTAAAAGCGCTATCCTTGACTCTGAATTTTCGTTGTGTGTCGCTATAACCCAGCACGTACTAGAAGGGAAGATCCACCTACTCGTGCGGCGATGTCGTGGCGGCGCTCTCAAGACGGCAGAAACACCCGTGTCGTCGTGTTTGTTTACTTCGACTACAGTGGTGATTTCTAAGCATTTGTGTCCTCGAACATCGCCCGGATTTCTTATTTGGCGCATTTCATGCGTGTGCTCAAGTTCAAGGTATTACTGGCGCGTACCGTATGAAGGATGCGAATTTTCACGCGTTTTCATCTCCGGAGAAAAGTGATTAGGGTTAGCAATCCTGAACGCTCGCGACGTCCGTCCGCAACCCGCGACGCCGTTAAATGGCTGCGCCAGGCAAAAGCCGCTAATTTCTTTTAAAATGTGTGACACACTTGAGACATAACTGTACTAGTCTATTGAATTAAAGACTTTCCTCAAACTAAGCTTATTTTTTCATCTAACATAAAATAAATTCTTTTACAAAGGTAAGTTGTCTCATGGCATGTATTTTGGCCTGAAAAATTTATGTTTTGGTTATAGTGCGGTACCGCTTATAGTGCGGATTTTCGCGACTCCCGAGACATACGTTATATGCGGTCTACACTGTAATTGGCATTGGGTCACATGGCTGCATGTTCGGCTGCGAGTTGAGGGGTTGTAACGCTGCTCGTTTTACGCTGCCATTTCATAGAGAGAAAAACTAATGCATGTTTCATGGGTTACCAATGGGAAGAATTAGTGGTATTTAGAGAAAGTAACCGTTGCACCTCTTGAGGCCTGACGCTGTGCCCGGTCTCTCGCAGCCCTACATCACTGCCGAAGAGCTTCGCCGAGAGCTGCCGCCCGACCAGGCGGAGTACTGCATCCGGCGCATGGCGGCCTACAAGGGCCACGGCGCGGTGCCCGGCGCCCTCGACTACATGTCCTTCTCGACGGCGCTCTACGGCGAGAGCGACCTCTAGGCGGCGCTCCCGCACCCTGTTATTTATTTTTTTTTCCTTTCTCGTTAACCACCTGTACACTGGGTCGAGGGCAGCACAAGAGGCTCGCGAGCACGGCCCCTTCCAACCCCGTCGGCTGCGACTCGCTTTGGCCAAGGGCTCGGCTGCGTCCGGATTGCATCGACCGTCGTAATTGCCGTGGTAGCCGGCTCGGCCGTTTAGGCGGTTCGGCCGTTTTGGCGGACTTGCAGACTCTCGCTCGTTTCTCTCGTTCAACGAGGGTAGCTGCATCTCGGCCGATTCGGCTGTCTACAACCGCTCGTAATCGAGTTCCATGTTTTGCGCAAAGATTGAGGCCGGGGGAGTTTGGTTCGCTTCGGCCATTTGCAGCGAGTCGTCTCGGGTCGCTCCGTCACGGATGATTTTCGTAGCCAGTCGTCGGCCCTCCGGGCAACGTAAGCCGTCCCAAGCCGGCAATCGGTGGCTGGGGTGTTTTATACGTAGGTCAAGATTTCTCTCGCATTACCGTTTTTTTTTTTTTTTACGCTGCCCCGAAACAGCGCCGAATTTCAAAAAGACCGGGAATTGAATCTAACCCACCCGCCGTCTCGGGCTTCCATAGAATCGTCTTGTGGCTTCATTATTAAGGATGTAGGCTCGCAGTGATTTCCGATTTGCCTCGTCTCGCCGACGTTGTGCCGCCACGAGAAGGCGTGTCGAATCGAGGCGGGCGTCCCATGTTTTAACAGGGTGATCCGAAGCGACCGGAGTATTTTTTGTTTTGTTTTCTTGTTTCAAGGCGCTGCGAGTTTTAAGTTATGGAGGGAAAAAGAAGTATACAGGTTTTCCAGTTTGTGCTTCTTCAGGGTGAAACACTTCGTAGTTCTTTTGTTTTGAAAGTTTGATGAAATTTTGGCTTGCCAGATTACCTTTGCAGGCCAGTCAGCTGTCGTAATTTAGTTTCTACGATTCTCACGCGTCCGAGTCGGCCATCGCTTTAAATTTTCGTGCGGAGGACGTGGAAAACTTTGGTGGTGCTAAGGCAGACGACAATAAAAGAGGCGACGCTTTTTTGGCGCGCTTCGACCGAATCACGGAAGTGCCCCCCCATCCCCTCCCCCCCCAAGATTTCGAACTCGGAGACTTCTTTTTGCTGTGCTCCGGCCCTTTTTGTACACGTGGAAGACATAGTTTATGTATACACACATTTTTACGACGCGACTCTCTCGTAGGTGTTGTGCTTTGCCGGCGTCTTATTTTGCGGCGGCGACTTTCGTTTTCTTTTGGACTGTCTCTCTCTCCGTTTTCTCCGAGCCGCGAGAATCGTGAACGGGAAAATAATTTCATTACGCTCGAAATTGTCTTAGCCCGCTATGATTAGCTCACCAAATTGCTCCGTAAAAAGCCGGGGTTTCAATTCGGATTGGGGAAACGTCCGATACTCCTCTCTCTTCCCGCGTCCTTCCTTTTTTTTCTGTCCGGTTTCGTGCGTTTATTTGTGGTTTTGTTTCGTTTTTTTTTTCTTTTGGAGAGCACTAGTCTAGAACCTTACATTATATTTAAGTGCAGAGGTTGGTTGGTGAGGTACGTGTACTAAAATCAGTGCCTAGGCGACTTTGGAGGCGGCGAGTTGGCACGCAACTAGCCCTCTCCTGTCCCCCCATCTCCTCTACCCTTTTCTAATTTATCTCGAATTCAACTATCCTCAAAAAGCGAAAAGGGTGGAAACTGCCGGGTTGTGCGTGAAGTGTGTGAATGTTGATGTGCGTGTGTTTGTATTTGTGTGTCCTTTGACAACGCCCCTCCCCCCTCCATTTTTTTCCCAAGCCCCCGTCATTTGCCGTCACGAAGTAAAGACTGCATTTCGAGCCCTTATGCCATGGATCGTTTTTGTCTGCTTCCGCGTTGAGACTCGTTTCGTTTTCTGAGCAGGGGTTAATTGAGAAACAGAAACAGTTTTTGCAAAGTATATACCGCAGCACGGCAACGCTTTTATCGGAGTTTTCGGTTGTTTGTTCTTTCCGAATATACCAGGTGCCAAAACTTTTTTGGGGCATGTTTCGTTGTTCTTGAACAGGTTGCCAAGAATCGTGCTTTTTCAGGCGAGAGTTGAAGCGGCGTATTAAAGCGAGCTTGAAGCGACTTGCGCGCCGGTTCCTCGTTCTAATGCGTCACCCGCTGAACAAAGCCTTTTTTTTTTTTTTTGCGTGTTGGAAGTTGATTTGAGTGGATGTACATGGATCCAAATTACCGCCTTCGCAAAGGCATTGCGAACTTTGTCGACATTGATCTTCTGCAGATTGGTCTTTTTTTTCTCCCCGGTCGTACTGAATAAAGGCGTTTCAACAAAATCAAACTGTCTTGCGTGCTCCCCCCTTTAACGCAGAATGGGCTATAGGGTTGGCACCCAGCCATATCCGGTTAGGTGTCGGCAATGGAAGTCGACAGCCATCTGCTTCCGGAGGGTGCAAAACATCACGAGTCAAGACATACAGTGGTGCTTTGCTCTATAAAAGGAGCACGCTCTGGGCTTCCTCAGAGAAAGAGCAACAGAAAAGCAGACTCCTTTGTGCCAACGAGTTCCAAGTGTTTGGTTCTCTTTTGCCTCAAGTTGGTGCCAGTGCTCTGCTCGGTGCTGCTGCTTTCCAATTGTTCTGTATTCCGCATGCTCTGTCTGCTGCGTCTCACACTCCAGCGGGCTGCAAGAAATTCACATTTACACCGCAACCGCAGAAGATGGCACTCACAATACATCTGCGGAGCGCTTACTTTGCACAATACAGGGCCGCTTTGCGCCTCTAGTCTCCACGTGTGTACACAGTTTTTTCCACGCTAATATGTTGCATTCTGTGTTATCACTGCCTTTGCCACGCTAATATGGCCTTTTAGTACTTTTAATTTTTAAATTGCGCAGGAATTTAGAAGCATCGAATAAGGTCAAAAGACGCACGGCTGCATAGGAAACCAAAACTAAATTTTTTTTTTACACATTTTTTTTTTTTTTCAGAGTTTTCTACAATTATGTGGGCACCTCTGTTACCCCACAAAATTGCACAAAGCAGGCTCGTTAAATTTACCTGCACTTTTTGCACCGGTGAAGAAAAATGTAGGGCAGTGTACTTCCTGTATGTGTATTTCAGAAGTGCACCCACCTACACTTTTCTGCACTGGTGCAGGTAAATCGAACAAGCTTTTTGCGAGTTCTCTATGGTAACTAGGCATAAATGCATGTTCATATTAAAAATAGCGCAAAAGAGACTGGACAAAAAGACGAAGAAGCACACAGGACAAACGCTAACTGGCAACTAAACTATTGAAAGCTTCCAACTTAGTTATCGCCATGCACGCGCTTAGTCTCGTTCAACAGAGACAGGGCTTACCGCCAAATCCGCACAATCATACCGCCCACCGCCTGTTCCAAAACGGAACAGGCGGCATGATTGTGCGGATTTGGCGGTACGCTCTGTCTTTGTTGAACGAGACTAAGCGCGTGCATGCCGATAACTAAGTTGGAAGCTTTCAATAAAGTTTAGTTGCCAGTTAGCGTTTGTCCTGTGTGCTTCTTCGTCTTTTTGTCCCGTCTCTTTTGCGCTATTTTTAATATGAATGTCCACTACCAACTTGCCCAGCAGACCAAGCTTTTATAAATGCATGTAGTTACCCTGTTTGTCTCAAAATTTATCTATGTGGTGGGGTATTCATATTAATCCAGTTCATATCAAATTCACAAAGTGGAACAAAAACGAGTATTAATGTGGAGGACCCATATGGGTGGGATTCTGAAAGTTGCCAGGGATTTTGTCGGCGACTTTCCACTGAAGTAGTCACTTCATTAGAGATCCTCTTGGTTTGGCTGCATGACGACGTAGCTTCCACCGTGTTAACTAAACTCTCGGAACACAGCTACCTGACTGGTTATGTTGGTTGCAGCAAAACCTAACTTTGAGCAACCGATAACCTGTGCTCGTTTGGGAGTGTGAAAGCTTCTAATTAAAAAGATTGCCCTGAAAAACTGATTTGTTTGACCCCTTGTGCGAACATCGGAAGTTTAAAGGGAAGCTCCGGCGGTTTCTTTCTTTTTTTTTGAGCTACCAATAATAAACACATTTTCGGGATACCCGGGCTTCACTCTTTACGGCACGCTATTTATTTTATATACATTCAAAATAACTTCAGAAAACGGCAAAGAAAAGTGATGCCAAAACCAACATTCAAATTGCCGGCGCGTGTTAGCCCTTTGCTCGACCCAGACGCACCTAATCCCCCCTTATCCGCACAAAAATATCGTTGCTCTGGGGCGCTGCAAGCAAGCTCGTAAAATAGTAAGTGCTTGTACTAGACCATCAATAAAAAATTGATTCTTAGTTACTATGATATTTATAATTGTAATATTTTTTTTAATCGTATGACGTTTGCAACAAAATAAAATGTCGGCCACAAATCAACACATTCTAACGATTCCAACCAAAACCGAAACTTATAGTGGCGCTGCAATCTGCCAGTTTTTAATAGTGCTTTTAATAATACGAGTAAACATTATGACAAACATTTCCTCATTTCATCAATTTAAAATGTTAAACTTTAAACTAAAAGTTAGTTCTAGTTCGGATTGCTGCTTTCTCAACCGGACACTAAAGCGCGCCAAAGCGTCCAACGTGTGGCGCCCCCTAGAACGCTCTCATTGGTCGCCTTCGCGCGTTGCGGGAAGACGCGTGCGTACAAACTTTCTTAGCCGAACCGGCTCAAGTTGTGCCGACGCCCGGGCGAAACACGCGCTACTCGCGGCGTGGATAATTTCTGTGCGTTCCATGTGTCCGGCGATTTGAGTTTTGTATCTGCGCGGGACACGGCTGGAGAAGTTTTCTCATGAGGTGAGCTTCCCACTCTCCTCTTTATAGTATTTACTGGCATATTTACGGCAGTTGGCTCGCGACGCGTTATTTTACTAGCAAGGAAGTATGCAGTTCAATGGGTAACCAACTCTAAATAAAAACGAAAAAAAAAAAAAAATCTTTGCGATTTTATTGTTTTATGAGGGGTGTGTCAGGTCGGAACATTTCAAGCGTACATAAGAAATAATAATAATAAAGAAAACATAAAGTGAACGGTAGCAAAAATGTGTATGATGTGCCAAGCAAATCACATCTGTGCCCCGTTTCCTAAGCCAATTAAATTAGATAACTTAGATTTAATTGCTAGTGGATGTGGGTATATATATAAAGGGAGTGAGGGAAGATTGACAGGTGCAGCTGTATTAACATTGTAAAGGAAGAGGGGAGAGAGTGATTAATAAATTTATTACATCGAAATTAGTGGAAGGGAAAGAAAGCTGCAGAAAAACTGGCCCTGGCCCGATTGGGCCCGCTCCTGGCCCAATTTTTCGCCTGCACTTTTCCTTCCCCTAACTTGGATGTAATACATTTATTAATCAATCTTATTCGTATCTCGATTTTTTTACGTATCGGAACTTCATTTCATTTCAGGTGAAAGTCAATTTATTTTTACTTAAATCTTCTTCATCATGGGGAAGATTCTCCATCCTAAATCGTTATATATATAATTTCACTAGTGATCAAACCCTGACAATGCACGTATACACTAGGCGACATCGCAAGCCGCCGCTTGCGATGTCGCCCAGTGTATACGTGCATTGTCAGGGTTTGATCACTAGTGAAACATAACAAACATAGCAACATAACAAAAATGTTTTTTTTTTTGTTTTTTGTTTTTTTAGTTTAGTCAAGTAGATTATCACATACGAACAAATCTTACATTTTCTAGACTTCTCGCTTGTGCTGTCTTTTCCTTGCGTCAATCTCCGTGTTCTTCGTAATTATCTTAAATTTAGCGGACGGGCAGTTTTGACTGTAACCCTCGCGTACCGAACATAGCAGTTCAAATCGCCAATCACTTTGTTTGCGCTCACTGTGCACGTCAATAGACCTATTGCTATATTACCCAAGCATCAAGGAGAATGCAGCGATTGGTGTTCAACGCGCCGCACGTACTGACGTCAGTCTTAGTAACTTTTCTAAAACGAATAACCTAAAACAATTGGCATCTTGCATGTGCGTTCGTCAACGCTTTATTTTAGTTATTTACTTCGAATCTTTTATACGGGGAAGGCGTGCGCGTGTGGCGCGTGGAGTAACCCATCCCTGCATTCTCCTTGATATGTTGGGCGGCACTTGTGTACTGTCTGAAAGTCGCCCCAAGACCGTTCATTCCGGGACACGTAAGGACCCGGTCGATGTACCGCGTGGAAGGTCTTGCCTTCCACTTCTCCGTTCTTTCCTCGGAGGCGCGCATCCCCGTGGACGCGGAGCAGATCTTCGTCGCCCCATTTCGGGGAGTGTTGTGCTGCGCGGTGCGCTTTGAGACGAAGAAGCGGCGATTCGGGAGGTCCGCCGCCGGTACCGCTCATTTTCCCCTCGCCTAAACGGGCCGAGGGGTAACAGAAGAAAACAGAGGCACGCTGGGAGAGGGCAGAGGGGGGGCGGGCAAGAAAAACGGCCCCCGAGGTGGTCTTTCCCCCTGAGGGTTTGGGGAGAGGGCAGAGCGGGGCCTTTCTGAATGACCAACCACTGTGGTCTTCTGGCCGAACGGTGGTGTGTGTCCGTTCAAGTTTCTTGTCTTTTCTTTTTTTTTTCGAGGAAATTTCTCGCTGTCCTGAGCACTTTATCTTCTTCCCTCGGCCGTCGCTTTTGGGGGCATTTCTGCCGAGGCAGTGCTTTTTTATTTTTCGGTGGTGGAAGTGAGTAGTGAAAGCGAAGCTGGCTTCCTCGTCGTTGGTTGTGTTGGGATCGGAGAGACACGAACCGCCGCCGCATGTAATGCAGCTCTTGTTCGATGTGATCGACATGATCATTTTGAGCATGTGCTATACTTGATCGATATGATCATTGACGATATGGCGCCTAACCTGCTAAAACGCCAATCAAGCTCACTACCGTTTTTTTTTTTTTTTTTTTTTTAAATTAAGATGAAGCAAATTTTTAGTATCATCGAAATATCTTAATTTTATTTTCGCTCGCCCTAGATAATCGTGAACTTTGCTATCAAAAGGAGAGGTAACGAAAACGCGTTCACCATGTTTAAAACTGTGTGTGAGCTTGTCCGTTTTTGTTGTTGTTGTTGTTTTTTTCCTTTTTTTTATAGGTTTTGGGTTTTTATTTTAAAATTAATTCACCAGCCTGCCTGCGTTTTTTCCCTCACTTTCGTTATTTTGTTTCCTGCAGATTCTAAACATTTCATTCAGTTCGGCCAACGAGGGGACTGATAGGTGCCGTACTTCGATATCCATTGGGCCACAATGCCGCTTGTCCTTCTCATTGCTTCCGCAAGTGTAGCGAATGG